ATAGTGTGCATTCCTGAAAAAATCTCCGATCTCTTCTTCAAATGCTTCTTTACTCTTATGGGCAATATTTCATTCCAATGCTATTCTAAAGAAATGATAAGAGAGAATCTGTGACGTCGCACTCCGCTACATACTTTTTGGTATTGTTCTTTAATCGTACTATTCAGAGTTTGGTGATTTTCTTGAACATATTTGTCATCAAACCTGAATTAAACTCGATGGGTCTGAGGCACTTGCCTAGACTGAGTACAACACAAAACGCAAAAATATTAGAATGCAAAGAATTTATAAATGCACCTAGCATGCTTAATATCGTATGAATTCGTATTGTTCAAATTTTATCAAAATAGAAAAAAAGGAGATGTGGTATGATTGCTAATGTGACAAATATCCACCTAAGTTCAAATGAAGTGAATGGAAGCAATTATAGGCAACCGTACGGCCTTCAACAATGAGAAAAGTCCATAGTGTATAGTTGGCTATAAAAGGCCCCGACATGAAAAATATGAAACAATTCAAATGGGAAAACTAACGACCTAATTTATAACAAAACAAATTACGAAGAACAAATATAACACACACGAACTAACGATAACCACTGAACTGCAGGCTCCGAACTTGACACAGACACATAAAGAATGTGGCGGGGTTACACATGTTTGAAGGCGGTAAAACTCCCCTAACCTTGGACAGTGGTGTAACAGTTCAACATCATAACAAACTACAAAAATCTGTTGAAAAGGACTTATCTTATGAAACAAAGCAGAAACACATCTAACAAAAACAGAGACTGGTCGTGGCAGGGTATGTATACATCCCTAACAACAAAAAAAGCACAAACAACAGATCTGAGAGTATTCACAGCTACTGACAGCTTGTTCAAAGTCAATAATAACTAATCAAAAAATCATGTATCTAAAACTCAAATAGCAATCAGTACACATCCAGCCTATTACAACACATATTTTTTAAGTATGAAAACTATTGAAGGCGCTTTTGAAAACCTCAATTTTATTAATCATGGAATTAATAACATGTTTACATTTAATCTTTCGGTATTATTTTCGACCTTGTAGGATTGGTATACTACATGTATATACAAATCCTTGCTTTAGTAAATCAATTGTCCACTAATGTATAAATTATCAATGTAACAGATTTTAATTAATCTATCAATAATCTGTTGCAAATTGAAAAATTAATAAGATAAGTATTTACATTGATTATGCGTACAATAAACTCAACAATCTGACCTTAGTTATATTCAGTTACTTCCTAGCAGACTATGCATTCAGAATATTGAGAGGAGTGCTATAGCTGTTAAAATTGATATGCCGTGTTATCGAATTAAGATATGCGCGTTACATTGCATGAACTGTCGCAAGTCTTGCATTCCTCTGATAACGCAATTTAACGGTCAATCCCTTGAAATCGAATTATAAATCCTTGGCTTTCAAATATTTAGATGTGAGGGTTCCTCATGAAGGTAAATCCATAAAGCGCTTCGGACTGTTTCAAGTTTCATCTTATCTTCTACGTATTTCGTATCAGAATACAAGTGTTTGATTATATTAATTCTTCATGCATAGGGCCTGTAATTCATCTTTTGTATATCAATCATTTTTATTTTTGTCGTTAAATTACGTTATAATGAACACTAAAAACTCCATGTTATAAACAATTTCGGGATTAATCTTTGGAATCAAGGGAAAGGACGTAGTAGTATTGCGAAACCGACAAAAGTGAAATTCAATATGTTCTCAGTAAGACACGTACTTTGATTATATGTCGACTTTTATAGGTGTGCATGTTACATACGATAGGTTATCTTAATTGTCAGAGTACAGATAAATTCCTTGGAAAAGTAGAATAATTGAACTTAAAAGATCTAGTCTTAGAATATAATATATTTTTATTTGAGATTAATTCAGCCGGTCTGAAGATTGCAAAATGTTGTGTGTAGATACGATGTATTGCATTGGAGAAAGTCGTATATTTTGTATTTAAATAAGAATGGTTTAATTTTGTATACAATCATATCAAAATATATTGAACAATTATGTGCATTTCGGTATATTCCCAATAATGCCCGACAACAATTATTTAACGGCATTGCCTACTATTAAATATTGAATATGAAAATATGCATTTCCCAACTCATTCGGTATTCAAGAGCTTGCAGCTGCTACTCAGACTTAGTAAAACGTCACCAGTGTCTGAGCAGAAATTTGATGAACCAGGGTTATGTCAAAGAACGTCTCGTCCTTTTTCTAAAAATAGTTCATCGGAAGATACCAAGACCTTGTTGATAAACATTTCGTATCAACTTCACAAATAAAACACGATGGTCCTGAAGTATAGATTCTAGGTTCTGACGTTGTTTATCATCTTAATTACGTATTATAGTGTTCTTTTATTCGTCTTTGTAAATTATTACTTTTGCTGTTTAGTCTATTTTTGATTATATACTTTTGACGTAGCTCGGTAATTATACATCCCGTCATTGTGGTATTGTGCTATGGTAAATTTTTGTATTTTTGTCTTTCGTTTTTGCTAATGTGCTTTGTCTTTATGCCTTTTTGTTTTTCTTTGTTGACATATTTGTTTGTTTTTATAGTGATCAAGATTATAAAACAATGTTGACTGCTGTACCCCTATTTTTGACAATTTTACCTATTATGTCTGTTTGTTTTGTTCACACATTTTTGTCAATATAATGGAATCGTATGATACTGTCATACAAGTGAGAGGTTTAGCTAGCTATAAAAACAGGTTTAATCCACCATTTTCTACATAAGAAAATGCCTGTACCAAGTCAGGAATATGACAGTTGTTTTCCCGTCGTTTGATGTGTTTGAGCTTTTGATTTTGACATTTGATTAGGGACTTTCCGTTTTGAATTTTCCTCGGAGTTTGGTATTTATTTATTTTACTTTTTGATGAGTAAAATTACACTAACATTTCGTTTTTATTCATAAACAACAAATAGCACTTTACGCAAGGCATTGTAAATTATTAATACCATATTGAATCGTTGTCAGATATAATGGTAAATATTTATTGATTATATAGACACGTAACAACTTTTTTGTTAAATTGTGCGCGTCCAAAGCACTTTTAAGGTTTCTGTAATCTTTCTTGAATACTTTAGGGAAAAAATGACAAACAAGTTTGTAAAAGCGTATCCAAATCAACATGTATTAAACAATGACAGAGTTTCCTAATAATGTGTACATCAACAGCAAATTTGATATGATATGTACCAAAATCACTGACTACTGTGCAAATTATTTCCAGGGGGACTATAGCTACATGTAACAATCCACAAAAAACGGTTTCGACCCCGTGCTAGAACATGAAAAAAAGCACTTTATAAAAAGATGCATCAAAAGCGGTCTTTATTCATGATAAACTTTCATCAGAATGGTTCTAGCGTAAAAAATTGGAAGCCAAGGATGTTGGTGATCCTCTGTCATAATTCATATAGCCTGATATAGTATGGCAGTTTTGAACGGACGGTCATCTCCCAAATGATACAAGGACCGAAGCTAACAAAAAGGCAAGGTTAGTTTCGACCTTCATACAATATTTAATTGTATATATGCTTGTAGCCCTATTTGTGTGATAATAAAATATTAAACGGTCAAAACATATCGTTTAACTGCAATTACTCTATATTCTTATTTTAAAATTCACATTCAATTGTTCTCTTTTAAATCGGCACAGTGCGTCGGTCCGAATTAAAATATTTGAACAGGCTTGTGTTTTAAAAAAAAATATGACCTCTTAATGCTAAGGTTGTACGGTAGTTGTTATTGTTCACGTTCTGTGTCTTGAAATCTGTAAAGGTAGTTATATCACAAGCAATCATCTGTAATATATCTCATAAAAAAAATAAGCAAGTGTCTATCAATAATGTTCAACTAAATACTTCCTTGGTAGCATCATTTTTACTATGATCTGAGTGAGGGTTCCAGATAAATTTCAGGTATGTATTTAACATAAAGGAAATACGAATTTTACATTTACCAAGTCCGTAAATGGAAAAATAAAAAAGGCTTTAAAATAATATTTTAATATGTTAAATCTAATTCTCTAATCTGCTTAACACGAAATTATTATTTATTATGAAATAAGTCAATTTGTTTCTACCTCAGTCTACTTAATATGGAATTGTATTCAAACCGTTCTCTTTCAATATGCTTATCGTCACATCGGCCTACTGTGTCATTCAAAAATTCAGCACATTAACAGGCTGATATTTGACGAGACTAATAGGAGCAATACATGTATGTTGATCACAGAGTTATTGGTCACATGATGCAGTAACGGTAAAATTATTGTTTACTATTAAAACGTGTTTATGTTTATATTTAGCACATGGTTTGTGTTATGTTAGTTATGATAGGATGGCATATACCCGCAATACGGTATTTACGGGTATATGCAGCTCATGAAATTTGTGAAAAGCATGATTAAGTATTACCCAAGGGGTTCGTTTGAGAAATTAACGCTATTCGAACTATTCGAAGTTTGGCTGTAGTTTACATAGCAGCAGTTCGTTATTATGTTAACCCACCCACCCACCCTTTCTCAGTTGATTATTGTTAATGGGGGTATAGCAATATATCAAATTATATTTTATATGTATGTTTCCTCTTTTGTAGATAGATTTTGATTGTGAATACTATAATATGATTGGATTGGTAGTGCTTGCCTGAATGTATAGGGTTAAAGAATATTGAATGTATTTAATACTTAAGGCTGCTACACCTGTTCGCACACTTATCCTATTTATGTCTTGTTTTTTATTCATTTAATAATTTATAATATTTGTTTGAGCTTGTCGAACTAGAATATATCATTCCTTGTTGAAGGTTGTATTTATTTGCGTTTTGTTCATTGACTTTTAACGGAGGCAATCATCTGAAACAAATCTCGTTTCTTTAAAGATTTCAACACGGCTCTATAAATATCAATATATAACGTTTTATATACTTCCTAGTTGTATCCATTATCCTAGTTTCAAGAAGAGGCAAGTGGTCATACGTCGATTTATGATAGGTTAGTAAAAAACTGATAATACATATTATACATATAAAAAGTCTGTCTACAGTTAAGTTGGGTCCATTAAATTTTCTTTCTATGAAAAATTATAAACAAAGAAACATTGTCATTATCGGTATCTGGTTATTAGAACTAAAAAATGTAAGATGATTACAATACATCACACTACAGTTACTGTATCGTCTTATATTTTTATGTTGTGAGTGTTACGATATTAACATGTTCTGTATTTATTTTCATTGTATCGGTGTCGTTACTGTTACTAAAATACGTTTAATATGTTTTATATTTGTAATGGTCTTTGGTCGGATTGTTGTCTCATTGACACATTCCCCGTTTCCATTTTCGATTCTCTTTTAATTCCTCCAATCGTATAATCATTGGATTACGGTTACAATGTAGTATGTTGACATTTAAAAGAAAGGCGAAATGGGATGTATGCGAACGAGACAGTAAATGAGGAAGCATTCCAACGATGATAAGTTTAACATACCATCTTCATCAATCATGTCAATAACAAGTATCAAACAAATGCACTCAAAAAATCTTTAATCACTTCATTTTTTGGTAAATTGCTCCTAGCCCAGAAAAGTTGCAATCCATCTTACAAAAAAGTCGAGAAAACTTGTCACAAAAAGGGAATTGCATGTTTGATTGAAAATAATTCGTAAGTGGTCAAAATAAATTAATTTAAAAATTGTGTAGATAAACAGTCATGTATCATTGTGCATTTTTATTATTGCAAACACAGGTTCAATGGGAAAAGGATGCCCACCTGCTGAATTACCATGATTACTACACAAATCTAATATGAAACGGCAACATAAACATCACCATCTTAGATACTTAATCCATTTGGTTATTATTCTGGATGGAGCTTTTCAAATATCCAGTGTATCTACCGGTAAGTTGATCTATTTTTAGAGAAACAAACTGTGATATTATAAAGATATTTACTGTCATACAAACAAATGTCCACACATGTGTATGTTAAAACCCATATGCAGATATATTAACATAAGAATTGCGATAAAACAAAAATATTTGATCTTCTATTCATTTGTATTGTATTTATTCATAGTCTAATTTCTAGCAAACAATAATAAATCAGTACAGATCTGAGAGTACTCGCAGTTACTGACAGCTAGTTCTTGACTTATTGACCCTCAATTTTGTATAATTCAGCATTATCAATTACATCATGTATGTGTCTGAGAATAAAACCAATAAACCTATTCTTTACGTAACCGGACTGATCCTAAGAAATATATTTTGTATAGTACGTGTATCGTTTTTAGCCGTTGTGCTAGAGCGTATGAAAATAGTTCCAAGTCAACATTCAAAAGTGAAATAGGACGATGATTGTTTAGTAACAAGGGATCACCCTTTTTGACTTAAAGTGTTAGTACACTTCAACTCTGAAAATATGTTATCATTTGATTTTTATGTCCATTATTGAAAATATCGACAACTGTGTGTTTTAAACTTTAAAATGTATCCCAACATTTTCTATAAAATTCGACTGCTAAGCCATCTTATCTAGGAGATTTATTAAGTTCCATCTTAAAAATAGCTTCTGAACATTCATTTAGTATAGTATCCCTAGGGCCTATCACGGACAAATGTATCATTTGTATCTTATTCTTTTTGTAGTTTTGTTTCATATATATAATGATGTTTATCTGGGCTTAGTGTCGAGTATATTTTTTCATAATACTCTTTAATATTAAACAAAATATTACTCGGATCTGTTATAATTTCATCATTTACCCCTTTTAATTTATTAATTGATGTTTAACTTGTCTTTGTTTTTCTAACCCGAAAAAATATGAGTTATATTTTCCCAAGTTCTACCCATTTCCAACTTGATCTGATTTGAGCCACTTAGCTTTTTGTTCATAAATTTTGGCAATTTCTTTTTTATTTTTTTTTTTATTTATTAATCTAAATGTTTATTCTCCGATTCTTGCTCATCCCCTGTTTTCATTTTTATTTCTAAATCTTTTTTTCGAGTGTTCGTAAATTCTCTCTTGCCAATTTTGTTTACGTTTTACTTTATGCTATGATTATCTCCCTTGCGTTTACCTTAAACACATCGTATTACCGTTTACAATTAAAGTACTTAACTTTATTTAAAATTGAGATGCCATTTAAGAAGTGTAGTTTTATCTTTTGTAATAATTTCTCAAGTATCTGTACGTGTATATGTTACAGTGAATTTGTAGAACTAGGGATTGTGTATAATCCCTGAATTTTTCAGGGATTATGTATAATCACTGGTAACTTTAGTGATTATATATAATTACTAACATTTTCAGGAATTATGCATAATCACCAGAAAAAATGTCAGGGAATATACATAATAACTTGAATGAAGAGACAATGAATAAAAGTAAAATGATTTATTCTATAAAATCATATTTAAATATCTTAAGAAACATAAATATTAAGATATTAAGCACAATATTCTGAAACAAATCATTTATTTTTACAAAGTACATTGTACATTTGGATGATATCTACTATGAGGGTCTGGATGGGGCCCCTCATTTCTTTATTCTTTAATTTTTAAGATAATTTTTGTCTATTCTGCATTCAAATTGACCATTATTCTCTATTCTATATTTGTCTATTTTATATTTGTCTATCCTATACTTGTGTAGCCCTTAATTTTGCACTTGTTGTCCATTATTCTCTATTCTGTAAACCCCATCCATACCCTCTACTGTTGAACATTTGCTCTGCTTTTCTGACGTTTTTTTTTAATGCAACAAAAAAACAACTTAAAAAACCCCTTAGCCTTCCATATTGAATATGATTTTACTGCACTTTGATGAGAAATAAAGTGTTCATAAGAAACATCTAAAGATGCTAAAAAGGTCAATCAGACAACTCAAATTTATTACTGTGTATTATCTGAGCATACTTTCATGTTTCGGAGTCAGTCATTATCCTTTTCAGCCCATTTTTGAACGATGGCTATAATTTAGTTGGTGTCTCCCATTCCACGATCAACATGCAGAATCGGGTTCACAGCCTCCTCCAAAATTTTGTTTAATCTGTCAAATATGTGTTCTGTTTGTGTTTCTGGACGTTTTGTTGCATATCTTTTTCTTAGTTTGAATTCCATGTTTGTTAACTTTCATTCCCTTTGTTTTACAGCAAATTACATGATCTGTGAATTTTTGTTGGTATTATTAATTTCAATTTAAAATACTTTTTTGTTTATGAGTTATTGTGGTTTAACACAGTTAAATAGAATATTACCAGAAAAACTGTAATAAGATTTGATAACTGGACAGAGAATGAAAACTGTCTACTTAAACCATATAGAGATTATACATATGGTTTATTATTTAATATTCAATATATTTTTTTACCAAAAAGAGAATCTTTGTATTACTGATAATCCCTGAAATCATTTCAGGGAATTTGTAGAATAATTCTTTAAATTTTCAGTGAAAAATCAGGGATTCTACATAATCCTTGATTATACAGATGCACTGTAACATATACAGCCATTTCAACTAAATAGGTATATTTATGAAACAATCACAAAGAAATCAACAATGCACATCACAATCATTTTACAAACATAATTTGAACATTCTATCGTGTTACATATGATTACAGGTAAGCAATAAAACATGCTTTTTGGTTAGATTGACTTGCCTTATTTGACCTTGTTTTTGCAAAATAGATTGACATACAAATTAAAACGAACAACCACCACGAGCTAAGTGTTTTTGTTCTACATAGTGTACTCATATTGGATATATGTTTCTGATTTTCGTGTACTAGCGGCATGTACTGAAGAAATTTAATATTTAGAATGAAAATAGATTTCAGTCTTAAGAAATTTCTGATAATGAAAGTGCATTTTATGAAGTCCCTTGTGGATTTATTTCTTGTCTTATAAATACTATAATATTCAAATATTCATCAAGAATAGAAATTGCCAAAACAGAAATTCCACATAAATGTGTACGTGTATGTAACAATGTTTTAGATTTTAACGAGAGAAATGTATGTATTACTGAAAAATTATTACACCAGGGTTTTCGATATCACAAACTAGTCAAAACATTTACTAAATTTTATCATCGGTATAAGGACATCATTCGTAAATATAGCTCAACATGCAGACTTCTTATACGTTCAGGTATTTCACATCCAATTTTTTATGGAAATATTCTTTATAAAGCACAAAAATGTCAGTATTCACCTCTGAAACTAACAAAACCTTTAAATAGACTTATTAAGAAGGGATATAGTTACGATACTGTTGTCAGGTCATTAAAGATTGCATATTTTGGCGTTGATATTGATTCACTTATAGGGTCTTTGCATCTGCACTAAACACATTTATTTAAAAACCAGTTGTTGGCATGACACGGGTTATGTTCTTCTCATATATGTTATGATGGTATGATACTAAACCCCTAACGGGAAGGATTGTGCCTGATATTCATATGATGAAGACATAATCTTTCAATCAGTTTAATTGAAGTCTGGAGCTGGCATGTCAGTTAACTGCTAGTAGTCTGTTGTTATTTATGTATTATTGTCATTTTGTTTATTTTCTTTGGTTACATCTTCTGACATCAGACTCGGACTTCTCTTGAACTGAATTTTAATGTGCGTATTGTTATGCGTTTACTTTTCTACATTGGCTAGAGGTATAGGGGGAGGGTTGAGATCTCATAAACATGTTTAACCCCGCCGCATTTTTGCGCCTGTCCCAAGTCAGGAGCCTCTAGCCTTTGTTAGTCTTGTATTATTTTTAATTTTAGTTTCTTGTGTACAATTTGGAGTTTAGTATGGCGTTCATTATCACTGAACTAGTATATATATTTGTTTAGGGGCCAGCTGAAGGACGCCTCCGGGTGCGGGAATTTCTCGCTGCATTGAAGACCTGTTGGTGGCCTTCTGCTGTTGTCTGTTCTGTGGTCGGGTTGTTGTCTCTTTGACACATTCCCCATTTCCATTCTCAATTTTACGTATATAGCAAGGTATGTATGTATTCATTTTAATCGTTATAAATTTGTACATAATTATGTACAAAATTTTACTAATTATTATGCATACTTGTTTATTAACTATTAATAGCATACCCTTTGTATGTATTTGCTCTAAATATAAAACAGATAAAGACCAATATAGCAGGAATATGACAAACTAGTAGTAATTAATATCTTCTTTGAGTATTACTTACTATTATATGGATCATACAAGCATATATTATTTGCATACTTTAGTTTCCATTCATAAAAATGAATACGTTGTAAAATGTCAACATGTAACATCATTGTAAGAAAATTGAAACTCAAAATCATTAATAATACACTTCTTTTGGATATAAACATCTTGCACTGTATCTTTTGTTTTTATACATTTTTTCCAACCCTATATAATTAAGGCTTTGAGTTGGCATTCATAAATACGTCTACATGTGTATGAGTTACATGTATGATGAAAACAAACAATTATTAATTTAACAATAATTAATATCGACAAAGATTGACTCTTTTGTAGAACTGAAGATGCTGAAAGTATTCTTATTTTTTGTTTTAACACTAATTGACGTCTTCACTATAAGCAGAAACCGATACCCAAACCGAAATGATGAAATACTCTACTGTAAATGTCAGTGTGAAATCAATCAGTCTATTAATTTAAATTGTTCTAAATCTGAAAATATTATATCGATGATTACTTGACACATCAATTCCAATCTCTTCTCAATACAATACTTTAAGTAATACTCAATTTAAAATTTGGATTTGACTTGAAATATTTTATACATTTATCATTGAGTGTGTTTCTCCGAATGAACTGTGTTATATGTAGTTAACTTTTCATTCGTCGAATGGGATATTCTACATACACTCTTCTGTCTTGAAT